TCTCTCTCTCTCTCTGTCTCTCTCTCTCTCTGTCTCATTGTGTCATATGGATTACTGTTAATTTATTATGCTGATCTGTTCTGTACGACATCTATTGCACGTCTGTCCGTCCTGGAAGAGGGATCCCTCCTCAGTTGCTCTTCCTGAGGTTTCGACCGTTTTTTTCCCCGTTAAAGGGTTTTTTGGGGAGTTTTTCCTGATCAGCTGTGAGGGTCATAAGGACAGAGGAATGTCGTATGCTGTAAAGCCCTGTGAGGCAAATTGTGATTTGTGATATTGGGCTTTATAAATAAAATTGATTGATTGATTGAAATGCAGTGATGTTGATGTTAGTTTTTAACGTGGTGAGTCCTTGGGACACACGAGAAGATTTTGAGAAATCTGCTGATTCTGTGTTTTCTTTTATCTTATTGAGATGATGAACAAATTAGGAAACAACAAATCAGGTTTTGCATGATGTATCTGATATGGACGGAAAGAAAAATGGCTGCTGCTGGTGAAATATTTTTTCATCAGGTCATCATCGACATGAGTCAACACAGCACAGGTCAGTGGCACAGTCACATGATCACAGTGTAACATGATCAGGAGAAAATCATACAACACGTCTCCTGGAAGGTAAAACGCCATCGTCACTGACAGGAGTGAAAACGCCACCTGCTGTCACAGCAGACGCTGAGACATAAGTTAACAGGACTGTCTGCAGAAACATCGCACATATTTGCGAATTCAGGTGTATTTTATGAACCTTGAAATGCAAGGTTACGGTCTACAAGCGGTCCAGGCAGCCCTGCTGTCTTTAACAGTGTCACTGAGTCGGGAGGAGAACAGGTGGGCAGGCGGACAGGTGTCAGATCTGTGAAGAGCGCCAGGACAAAAACACTGACACATCACGGGCAGTTTGGTTTAATCCAAAACACCAGTTTGACTCTCAATGGTTTCTGTGAGAGGAGAAATACTTTAAAACCAGTAAAGTCACCTGACTGACGCCACTGATTCAACATGACACACAGCATGTGAATGCACAGCACATGTGAATATACTGATAATCACAGTTCAAGCCATTTTTCACAATACATTCATCGGGCACACTGATGTGGTGATGAAGGTGTTTCACAACGAGCCGCTGCACATCATCCCGAAATCAAAACTGTGACACAAAATACTGATTTTAAAAATGACTGAACTGCCTCTGCTGAGACTTTATGATCAGAACTGTCTACAGTGTGGTCATCGACCAATCAGAATCCAGTGTTAAACAATGCCATGTAGTAAATATATAAGTTCTATACGTGAGCAGTTACCTTTCCACATCTTAGAGTCGTTGAGCATCAGCTTGTCAACCAGCGAGGAGTATTCTCCTTCTGGACCTTTCTGCAGGCCCACCTGACACAGGATCCTCCTCAGACCATCTGAAATACAACAGGTAAACACTCACGCCAATCACAAGCAGACAGAGTGAGGGATTCTGGGTAATGAAGTCCAGACTCACCAGAGCATTGAATGATCTGTCCCAACCAGCTGAGAGCCTTCAGAGCAAAACACTGATGAGCAACAACTGACGAGTGCATCACCTGAACCCTGAGAGGCTTCGACTGACGACTGGTGTTCCTCTGATAGGACGCAGGACACAGGGAGTCAGGACAGAGGGAGGACAGAGGGAGGTACAGAGGGAGTCAGGACAGAGGGAGGTACAGAGGGAGTCAGGACAGAGGGAGGACACAGGGAGTCAGGACAGAGGGAGGACAGAGGGAGGTACAGAGGGAGTCAGGACAGAGGGAGGTACAGAGGGAGGACACAGGGAGTCAGGACAGAGGGAGGTACAGAGGGAGTCAGGACAGAGGGAGTCAGGACAGAGGGAGTCAGGACAGAGGGAGGTACAGAGGGAGTCAGGACAGAGGGAGGACAGAGGGAGGACACAGGGAGTCAGGACAGAGGGAGGTACAGAGGGAGGTACAGAGGGAGTCAGGACAGAGGGAGGTACAGAGGGAGTTAGGACAGAGGGAGGACATAGGGAGCCAGGACAGAGGGAAGACAGAAGGAGGTAAAGAGGAGTTATTAAATGATTTCCTGTATCACCCTCAGCTCCTCCCTCAGCTGTGACATCAGACACTCACCACGATCACAGACTTGGCCTGGTCACAGAACTGAAAGTCTCCGTATCGAACCGACTTCCTGCCCTGCAACATGGACACAACATGTAACGTGGACCTCCTCATGTTTGTGAGGACTGATGTGAACCAACATCACACTGGTCCTGTATATCATAGTAACCATAGTAACAATGTGATGCACAGTGTATATGTGTACTGTAGCATGTACTAACGTCTCTGTCCACGGTTGTGGCGAAGCTGACGGCTTCTTTCTGGCTGCAGTTGACAGCTTTCTGCAGCGTGTAGATCACCTGTTCATACGTGTGGACTTCATCATTGAACAACATGCAGTAGTAGGTGTCTCCTCTGTCCCTGAACACACACACACATACACACACACAGGAAGTGTCAGAGTAAATGTGAACGTAACAAAACTCTAACATGTCTGCTTATTGTGATGTCACTTCCTGTTGTCTCTCATCCCAACATCTATCCAACTTGAGCTCAGAGATTATTTAGATCAATAAACCAGAATAATTAATAAAAGGTTTAAAACAGTGTCATTAAAATAAATAATAAAAACACTGGATGTTTTTTTCATCAGATTTTACTAAAAAATAAAAAAACAGATCCAAAATTATTTTAAATGTGGAAGCGTGGGGTGTTGGTGGCTTAGTGGATAGAGCAGGTGCCCCATGTACAAGGCTGTTGCCGCAATATTTTTTGCACCACATGTAACAAAAATGATGTCATTACGAGTGTCCACCCTGATGAAGGTGAAGACAGAAGCTTTCTGATACATGAATGTTGTGGTTACTGTGGTTTTTATTTTAGACCCTTTTAAACAGGATCAGACAAATAACGACCTCCTGGCTTAAAGGGTTAAAGACAAACACACCTGTTGACACATTATTAAAGGTAAGTACATAACCTTTAATAATGTGTCAACAGGTGTGTGTGTGTGTGTGTGTGTGTGGGGACAGTGTTTATTTTGTTGATGAAAACCTTTCATCAACAACCTTTTTTCCACGACTATAACAAGACGATGACGAGCTAAAACTAGATATTGAGTGTGTTTACATGGACAGTTTAATTCCCTTTTCATTCTGAATGAAAGTTCATTCCTATTAAAAGTGATCTTGTAAACACCTAATTCAGAATGAAAATGGCCAATGCGATTGAAAATTCAATCCGATGTAAGGGGCTGGAATGAATATTTCCCATGTAAACATCCTGGAAAAACTTTAATTCATGATGATTTCATTCAGATTTCATTCAGAATGAGAAGCCATCATGTAACCGCACCCAGTGATAATAAAAACTAAGATGAAATCTATGTTTGATTTTCTTTGACGAGACGTGATGTAAATGTTGGTGGTGGACTGTTGACAGCGTGTACTTCTCTTCAGATGCCTGATGAGCCACAGGCTGGTAAACTCCAGTAAATAGTCTGCACCAGGATGTTTCTGTTGGTGCGAGTTGTGAGCTGTAATTCAGCAGTAAATAATCAGCCGTGTGTGTCTGACTGTGGATGGTGGAGCTGCTGGATGGATTTGTGGCTGTTAGCAGTTAGCTATTAGCAGTTAGCTGTTAGCAGTTAGCTTTTAGCAGTTAGCAAATAGCTGTTAACTGATAGCAGTTAGCTGTCTGTCTTCAGACTGAACTAAAGTAATTGTAAGAATTAACACTCTATGGTCTATGGATGTGTGTGTGCGCGCTCGTACGGTGGCTCCAGTCCTGCAGGCAGCTGGTCCTCCTGTTCCCAGGTCAACATGTCCACAGCATATTTCAGGATGGTGGAGAAGATGCTGAAAGCACGACTAACCATGTCAGCAGGCAGCAGGGTTACAGGATCCTGAAGGGACAAACAGAACCGCAGTGATCATCAAGGGACAGACAGACCGTCAGAAGGTCAGACAGACAGAGGGACAGACAGACAGGTATGTGTCTCACCTCCTCAGTGTCTCTGTTGTTGGACGTAGGTGTGTGTTTCTGGCAGTAAGGACCTTTCTTCCAGGCCTCAGCATCTCCACAGTCACAGAAACCTCCACCTCCTGACGTCGTCATCTACAACACACACACACACACACACACAGACACAGACACACACACAGTGTACCATCATGTGTCTTGTCTGTACTTCATGGACGGTTCTTCCTACAGAGGACTCAAGAGTTAACATCACCTGTGACCTCCGTCAGGTCTCTGGTGTACCTGTTCCTGTCACACCTGTCCCTGTCACACCTCTGACAGATTAAGTAAAATGCTTGTCTCTGCTTCACCTGAAATAACTTCAGTCTCAGTGTCAGCAAAGTTTCTCTGTCTCTGTCTGCTCCATGTGTCCTCAGGTCTGTCTCTGTTTGCTCCATGTGTCCTCAGGTCTGTCTCTGTCTGCTCCATGTGTCCTCAGGTCTGTCTCTGTCTGCTCCATGTGTCCTCAGGTCCGTCTCTGTTTGGTCCATGTGTCCTCAGGTCCGTCTCTGTCTGCTCCATGTGTCCTCAGGTCTGTCTCTGTTTGGTCCATGTGTCCTCACGTCTGTCTCTGTCTGGTCCATGTGTCCTCAGGTCTGTCTCTGTCTGCTCCATGTGTCCTCACGTCTGTCTCTGTTTGGTCCATGTGTCCTCAGGTCTGTCTCTGTTTGGTCCATGTGTCCTCAGGTCTGTCTCTGTCTGCTCCATGTGTCCTCAGGTCTGTCTCTGTCTGCTCTGTCACCTGGTCACAGATAGAAAGGAAAGCCAGCGATCGGGTACTCTGGAGGTCCGTTGTCGACGGCCTATACCCCAAAAGGGGTGTAAGGCATAAGTAAGTAAGTTAGCGTGCTGTCAGGTTGCGAGTGTTTGGCGTTCATGAACATTCACACGTGTCTATGATCAGATCTGAGTTTGATGATGACTGACTTCAGACACGAGTCCTGTTTGTCAGACAGACACTGGTCACTGCTACGTTTCTGGTGGATCTGAATTCACAGTGATCTGTTGTACATGAATCCATCTGCACATGTCAGATACTGCACATCACTGTGAGCTTTACTCCAGGATGGTCGACCATCTTGGACCCTTCTTAGGCTCTGGTCCTGGTTCTCAGACTGATCTGTGCTCTGCTGGTCTCACCTGGACTCACCTTCACCTATGTGACCTGGTCTCTGTCTGGTTATAAAGCTCTCAGAAGAACCAGGATGAACCAGTCTGTTGGTTCTGGTCACCGTGTGAAGGTGTTTGAATGTTTCTACATCTTACTGTGGATCTGTATCTGTTTATTGTGTTGTTGTTGTTGTTGTTGTTTGTAACTTTACAGATGCAGCCATCTCAGACAGGACTCAACTGTAAACACATCACTGAGCTCAGACATGACTCAGCTGGTTAAATACAAACTCGCAGGTTTACTGATGTTTCATCAAAGACACCAAAAGTGTGTTTCACAGTGTGTGAGTGTGTGTGTGTGTGTGTGTCACATGCAACAGACAGACTCTCAGCTGAAGTGTTTCAGACTGTCTTTGTGGACCTGACAGGTGAAGGGGGGGGCATATATCAGATACTTCCTGTCAGCTGACCTCTCGTCAAATCAAACCATTCTTTGGGTGTTTCAGTAAATTTTTTAATGTGTTAACACAACTGTGTTAATGAGTCAAGGACACAGTCTGTGATTGGTCAATGAGTCATGGACACAGTCTGTGATTGGTCAATGAGTCATGGACACAGTCTGTGATTGGTCAATGAGTCAGGGACACAGTCTGTGATTGGTCAATGAGTCAGGGACACAGTCTGTGATTCGTCAATGAGTCAGGGACACAGTCTGTGATTGGCTGACAGACTGTACCCAGACATGATGGAGGTCTAACAGCATCAGTAACAGTTTCTAACACAGACAGATGAATAAACCTTCACAGAGACACAGTCAGTGTCAGATTGATCATCACAGAGTGATGTCACAGTGTCTCCAGAGAGACGCTGCAGGTCAGCCGATCATTAACCTTCTGACCAGGACTCGATCACAGTGAGACGGCTAATGTTAGGCTAACATTAGCATCGGGGTCAAACACAGGAAGTCTGTCACACACATTATGATGAACGAGACTCAGTCAGTAGAGTCCAGTCTGAACACCTCGGCTTCAGTCATACAGTTTACTATCAGGTAACATCACATTTATCGTTATCTGTCTGATCCAACACCTGTTCCACCTGTCTGAGTGTGTGTGTGTGTGTGTACTCACCCTGTATCGATGCTCTTTGTGAACACTTCCCAGGAAACACTTCATACACAGGACACAGGTCGGGTCGGCTGCACACTCCCTGAACACAAACAACAGTCTGTTTATCACACCTGTCAGGCTCTGCCCACCCAAACCCTGTTACACACCAGATACCCCCTGATGACAGACAAAGGTCAGCTTGACTGTGACATCATCTTGTTCTAACATCTTATCTCAGGAACAGAAGGGGAGACATTCAGACTTTGATCTGATTGGTCAGATCTTCTGTGTGTCATGCGACATCACTAAAAGGAGTCAGTGGGTGTTTCTAAAAGTGAAGAATCCTTTCGTTGTAGAATGAGTCCTCCCAAGAAAGGATCCTCCAGAGACAGAATCATTCCTATCATTTAGTGAACACACATTGGAACAGAGTAACCAGTGTCCTCAGGTGTGTGTCATTAACCCTTGGGACAGAGTAACCAGTGTCCTCAGGTGTGTGTCATTAACCCTTGGGACAGACTAACCAGTGTCCTCAGGTGTGTGTCATTAACCCTTGGGACAGACTAACCAGTGTCCTCAGGTGTGTGTCATTAACCCTTGGAACAGACTAACCAGTGTCCTCAGGTGTGTGTCATTAACCCTTGGGACAGACTAACCAGTGTCCTCAGGTGTGTGTCATTAACCCTTGGGACAGACTAACCAGTGTCCTCAGGTGTGTGTCATTAACCCTTGGGACAGACTAACCAGTGTCCTCAGGTGTGTGTCATTAACCCTTGGGACAGACTAACCAGTGTCCTCAGGTGTGTGTCATTAACCCTTGGAACAGACTAACCAGTGTCCCCAGGTGAAGGAGACTAGCTGATGGCTAGTGGCGGTGCTAGTTCTCGAGTCTCGTGTGAGTTGCCATGTAAACACAGCAGCCTGCAGGGCAGGCTAACTGACCACGGTGAGAAATGATGCTATAAAAGTGGAGTAAATTATGTCTCCAGCTGGCTCCGATACCCCGAACGAGTTTTGTGGATTAAAAACTCCACTGGACTTCTTGTGGGCATGAGGGTCAGTAAGTACTGTCTGTATCTTCATTCTAAAGTGGCCATTTCCTTTAGAGATCACCCAATGTGTGTGTGTTACCAGTGTGTGTGTGTGTGTGTGTGTGTGTGTGTGTGTTACCAGTGTGTGTGTGCGTGTGTGTGTGTGTTACCTGTGTGCGTGTGTGTGTTACCTGTGTGCGTGTGTGTGTGTGTTACCTGTGTGTGTGTGTGTGTTGCCTGTGTGCATGTGTGTGTTACCTGTGTGTGTGTGCGTGCGTGCGTGTGTGTGTGTGTGTGTCTCACCTGCAGGAGTAGGTGGGCTCTCCCACCTTGAACACATGACCACACAGCGGTGACGGCTGGTTGTTCTCCTGCAGGAGGGCAAGGCCAGTGGCCGGCTCCTCCCCCAGCAGGAGCCACTCCAGGGGAGCCAGGAGGAGCAGCTGATAAGCCAGCTCCTCCCTCTGCTCCTCCCTGCTGCTGCCCCCACTTGGACCCAGGCAAAGGATTCTGGGTACATACACCGCCAAGTGACGGTACACCTCCTGCTGCAGGTCGGATGCGGCCAGCCATTGCTGAGGAAGAGGAGGAGGAGGAGGAGGAGGTACATCATTTAATTAATAAGTGAAAATCAAAGATTTCAGAGTGTTCAATGTCAGATGTTCACATGTGTAACAGACACTCAGAGAATCAGTCTGATCAGAGGGGTATTCCAGGTAGGAGGTTCAACAAACTCTGAGTCTGACCCTGAACTCTGAGTTGATTTACTCTGAGATGGGAAACTCTGAGTTACCGGTTCCAGAACAGCTGATTTGAGTTAGTTCAGTCAACTCTGAGTATGTTCACTCTGAGTTAAGCCGACAATAAAAAGCCATCATCAATGGAGCTCCGACTCCACGATTCACCATGGCAACAGGTAAATAAAAGACAGCGCCTCCATTTTAATCCAGTGGATGTAGAGATATTAATGCATGTGTAGCAGACGGTGCACGTTTATCTTTAAAAGAAGAGCCTGAGTCAGAGCGAGGAAAGTGTCAATAAGTTAACCATAAAGTTAATAAAAAAGTTTATTCATCATTTATCAGACTTACATTTCCTTAATGAAGATAAAGTGGTGGAATCTGACTGTGTATCAGGCTGTAGATACATTACATTATATTAATAATATATAATAATATATTTGTTCAGATTTAATCTGATGGGGAAAAACACAGGAGGCAGAAGATTTAAAACATATAGGCTAGGCTATAGATCAAAGACATAAAGACATGACTGTAAACTCACAGTCTGACCCAGTAATAATATGTTTGGTGATTTGCACTTGAAAAGACGTTGAGGTTAAAATACAGTAGATTTTAAAATGTTGCACATCTATTTGTATCTTGACTCAACAGCATTCAGTGACTTTATTTCAGCTACAAATGTAGTAAATGTAAAGACAGTGAAATGCTGCACCATTGCTCACTCAGAAATATGAACATATAATCCCCAATATTAGGCTATAGGAATTATGTTCCATCAGTGCGACCAGTGACATCAGTGACAGAGATCATTAGTCATTGATACTACGTGTCTAAAGCTTCATACCCATTTTTAAAATGTAAATAATTAGACCTACACATTATGTGCAATAAACATTTGGGAGCTGCTCTGACAGACTGACAGTCTGATCCTTGTGCACAGTGTTATAAAAATAATAAATATAAAAAGGACAGAGGTTTGATTCTGAGCTGAGGGTGAATTCTCGCTGTGTAATATTTGAATGTAAAGACAAAAACTGATGTCCAAAGAAATTATTGATGTGCATAAAATCAGTAACTTCAGACAGTCCTGAGTAACAAACTAATATCCAGCAGGATTTAGACTGTGACAGACGGTAAATCTCCGCTAGTTAATGCACTTTGATACAAGCTTTGACACGGACTGAATGAATGAAGAGTTTTCACTAAACCTGCTTTCTGGAATACCCCTCTGGTCCACTGTGATAAAGTCAAAGAGAAGAGGTCATACAGACATAAATCATATTCACTGTTTAATAACAGTGTAAATTAGTATTAATAATATTACGGGCTCCTTGTTTGTGAGATGAGGAAAAATAAAGATAAGAAATAGAGATAAATGTAATAAATGAAATTAATAAGTTAATTAATAAGTTAATAAGTGAAATTCTAGAAAATAATTCGTAAAATATTAAAAATAAATAAATGGGATAATAGAAATAAATAAATGAGATAATAGATATCAATGAGTGAGATAATAGAAATAAATAAATGAGACAATAGAAATAAATAAATGAGATAATAGAAATAAATGAGTGAGATAATAGAGATAAATGAGTGAGATAATAGAAATAAATAAATGAGACAATAGAAATAAATAAATGAGATAATAGAAATAAATGAGTGAGATAATAAAAATAAATAAATGAGATAATAGAAATAAATGAGTGAGATAATAGAAATAAATAAATGAGATAATAGATATCAATGAGTGAGATAATAGAAATAAATAAACTGGACAATAAAAATAAATAAATGAGTTAATAGAAATAAGTGAGTGAGATAATAGAAATAAATAAATGAGATAATAGAAATAAATGAGTGAAATAACAGAAATAAATAAATAAATGAGATAAAGGTAGATAAATCTAATTTCAGCTCCATGTTTGGTCATGTAAAGACAGATATAACTAATACATTAAGACAGGTGAGTGTACTGAGGGTGTGCAGGCTGACACACGCTGTTGATTGACGGTTATGACGGTTAATAACCGGTCGGTAGTGACACAGGATTTAACGATACAAAAAAACACGCAGGTGTGTTTATAAACACCGACAGTCGGAGTTGACGTCGTGACGTCAGACTGACACACACACACACACACACACACACACACACACAGCTGCAGCAGCTGTTTACGATCCAGATGTTTGACACATCACTCACAACTGCTAGCATTAGCATTAGCATTAGCTCCGTGTTGCAGATTAACCAGAAAAACGTCGAGCAGGTGAGAGCGCGCGCTGTGACGCGGTGCCAGGTGAGGTGAGGACGTCAGCAGGGACCGACAGGTGGAGGAGGAGCTTACCGACGCCGTGTCTTTGGCGGAGAAATTCAGGAACTCCGAACATAAAGCTGATGGTGGGTCTCTGTCGGACTGGGCCGCCGCCATCTTTCCTCCGTCTGCTCTGTGGCTGCTCAACGGAGAAGAACCCGGAACCGGAAATAAGCATCAGCTGAGGGGGGCGGGGCCAAGACTTTGAAAATACTAAGATCAGACAGAAAACACGCACGCGCGCACACACACACACACACACACACACATAGACACAGACACAGATAGGTGTCTGTCAAATAGATCACAAATCACAAATATGAAAACTGGGAACTATTCAATCTGTTTCCATGCCAATAGAAATATATTTTATATCTAGGTGCAGTCTATAGACATATACATATATATATATATATATATATATATATATATATATACACACACACACACATACATATATATATACCCAATGTTTTTCAAAAACCTTTGACAGCTATAGTACCTCAGATCCTTTCTATTGCTGCACTGAAGCTTTAACTCTTAGGGCCCAGTTTCACAAAGCACTGTGACCATTTACAAACTGCAATGACACAGAATAGATAAAACATGAATTTGTTGAAGAACTGTACAATATCCTTCTATGTTTGACAGATAAAACTAATCAATAAAGACATGTACAGACATTGAACACATGGTGTGTGCATTCGACTAAACTAAAATTTAAATGTCTTGTTTACATATAACAATGTTCCCCCATACAACTTACAGGAGTATTTCAGTGGATAGGCATGGTTTTTATGGATGGTTGTTCATCTGTCCTAACACACACACACACACACACACAGTCAACTTCATTGAAAGCTGTCTTAAGTGTTGTAGTGTGAATTCACCCTGCTGTATGACTTACTTTTACATGCACTCACACACACACACACACACACACACACACACACACACATTACTTCATTGGCAAGTAATTTAAGTGTCGTAACGTTAATTCACAGTGTGACTTACCCTTTATCATGTACTTTTTGGATGCTTTCCTAATCACTGCCTTTCTGCTCTCCTGGTTTCGGGAGGCGAGGGTAAGGCTGTGATGCTAACCTTTTGCCTAAAAAAAATGGATTTCAAGGTAAAAGTTGTGATTTTTCTTCCATTTTGCTGACGCTAGACCACCGAGCACTAAAACCCATGAAAATGGTAAACCCACTACAGCCAATCACAACGTGCCATGTCATCACCCCATCTTACAACCGCTCATATTGTGTGATGTCACAGGCAGTCGCAGGCCCCGAGCCGTTCTGGCAGGCCGAGCCGATCTTGTACCTCCACCAGTTCTGGTCTGATCCAGTTCTGGAGGACGATGCCTGATCCAAGATGGCTGCCAGGTCAGAAAGGTTCTCATTCTGCAGTTAAAAACCAAAACGTGTTGGTGAACAGATCTGAGGACAGAGAGACGGAATTGTGACACAGTCTGGGGTCATGTGACCAGTGCTGCGTCAGAGACTCCTCAACTCTGACTGGCTGTTTCTGTTCACATGCAGTGAGGTCATCAGAGGTAAGACAGCAGCAGAGATGATCTGTTTAGTTTCGTGTGAACAACCAAAGTTTTAAACCTGTTTTGTTTTTTTTGTACTTGAGGCCACATAGGACGTGAGCAGCACAGGTCGTCATGGAGACAACGCTCCGCCCACTGCTGCCAGAGGTGCAGGATGTCCTGCACCTCCTCCCTCAGCACCTCTTCCAGAGTCAACAGGAGCACCACGACCAGGAGGAGACCTGAGGACACACCAGTCCTGAGATGCCCCTGATTGGTCCATTTAAGTCTGTAACATTCAATATAAACGACTGCAGCCAGCCAATCAGAAGGATGAGAGTTCATGAGGACAGACCTACATGTGACGCACAGTGAGCAGTAAAAACCAAAGAAGAACAATCAGGAGGAGGACGGCCTCTGATTTTGGTTCAGATACAGATAGATCCTCCAATAAGCTGTCCCCACAGTCCCTTTACTGATGGACCGAACTCTGTCTGATGACCTGAGACAGACGTCCCCACAGTCCCTTTACTGATGGACCAAACTCTGTCTGATGACCCGAGACAGATGTCCCCACAGTCCCTTTATTGATGGACTGAACTCTGTCTGATGTCCCGAGACAGACGTCCCCACAGGGACAGGGACTAACCCTTCCACCTCTGGAAACGTCACCCTGTTATTACATCTTTGTTTCACAGTGGCTACAGCTACATGATAGCTTCTCATTCAGAATGAAATAAATCTGAATGAAATCATCATGAATTAAAGTCTTTCCAGGATGTTTACATGGGAAATATTCATTCCGAATGAGGGGTTACACGGGAGATCAGTTCAATCACCTTTATTCATGTCTGCACAAGGTTTTGGTCAGGGAAGGTTTCTGATTGGATAGGGGTCGGGGCGGATGTTACGTGTTTACGTTTACCTGAAGAAAACACTGTAGTCCTCGTTCCGGACAACAAGATGTTTGACGATGCCGTTCGTAGTGCGTTTTTCGGGCGTGTTCTGCTTATATTCTTGAAGCAGCAGTACGACAACAACCTTGTTCTGCTAATGCTTCATCTGTTGAGGAGGAGAAGGGAGGTAGAAGTTTTAAGAAGGGAGTTAGAAGACCGTGCTGTGGTGAATGGAAACCGGTGAGTGCAACAAGTCCGACTGCTCTATCTCAGCCCGTTGCTATGCAGCCCGTTGCTATGCGCGCTATATACAGTCAGGTCCATAATTATTTGGACAATGATACAGTTGTCATCATTTTGGCTCTGTACACCACCACAATGGGTTTTAAATGAAACAATGAATACCTGCTTAAAGTGCAGACTCTCAGCTTTCATTTAAGGCTTTTTTCAAAAATGTAGTATGAACCGTGTAGGAATTACAACCATTTCTTCACACAGTCCCCCGACTTTAAGGGCTCATAAGTATTTGGACAAACTAACATAATCATCAATTAAACAGTCAGTTTTAATACTTGGTTGCAAATCCTTTACAGTCAATGACTGCCTGAAGTGTTGGACACATAGGCATCATCAGATGCTGGGTTTCTTCCCTGGTGATGCTCTGCCAGCCCTTTACTGCAGCCGTCTGCACTTCCTGCTTGTGTTTTGGGTGTTTTGCCCTCAGTTTTGGCTTCAGCAAGAGAAACGCATGCTCAGTTGGATTCAGGTCAGATGATATGACTTGGCCATTGCAGAACATTCCACTTCTTTGCCTTAAAAATGTCTTTGGTTGCTTTTGCAGTATGCTTCAGGTCAATGTCCATCTGCACTGTGAAGCATCGTCCAATGAGTTTTGAAGCATTTGGTTGAATCTGAGCAGATAATGGTGCCCCAAACACTTCAGCTTTCATCCTGCTGCTCTTGTAAGCAAGACAAGACTTCACTAGAATAAATACAGAGGGTTTATCACAAGATGCAAACCATTGGTTAGCCTTAAAAATGGAAGGCCAGATTAGAGTTTGTCAAAAACCATCTAAAAAGCCTGTACAGTTGTGGAACAGCATACTATGGACAGATAAAACAAAGATCAACTACCAGAATGATGGGAAGACAAGAGAAGGAAGAAGGGAAGGAACTGCTCATGATCCAAAGCACACCACCTCATCAGTGAAGCATGGTGGAGGTACTGTTATGTCATGGCCATGTATGGCTGCCAGTGGAACTGGTTCTCTTGTATTTATTGATGATGTGACTGCTGACAAGAGCAGCAGGATGAAAGCTGAAGTGTTTGGGGCACCATTATCTGCTCAGATTCAACCAAATGCTTCAAAACTCATTGGACGATGCTTCACAGTGCAGATGGACATTGACCTGAAGCATACTGCAAAAGCAACCAAAGACATTTTTAAGGCAAAGAAGTGGAATGTTCTGCAATGGCCAAGTCATATCATCTGACCTGAATCCAACTGAGCATGCGTTTCTCTTGCTGAAGCCAAAACTGAGGGCAAAACACCCAAAACACAAGCAGGAAGTGCAGACGGCTGCAGTAAAGGGCTGGCAGAGCATCACCAGGGAAGAAACCCAGCATCTGATGATGCCTATGTGTCCAACACTTCAGGCAGTCATTGACTGTAAAGGATTTGCAACCAAGTATTAAAACTGACTGTTTAATTGATGATTATGTTAGTTTGTCCAAATACTTATGAGCCCTTAAAGTTGGGGGACTGTGTGAAGAAATGGTTGTAATTCCTACACGGTTCATACTACATTTTTGAAAAAAGCCTTAAATGAAAGCTGAGAGTCTGCACTTTAAGCAGGTATTCATTGTTTCATTTAAAACCCATTGTGGTGGTGTACAGAGCCAAAATGATGACAACTGTATCATTGTCCAAATAATTATGGACCTGACTGTACGTCATCGCGCCAGAAGGGCAAGGAAACGAGCATGCACAGAAAGACTGAAATGAATTTAATGAGGAATGAGTGTATACATGCACACAAAATTCTTTCATTCAGAATGACAAACGGAATAAACCACCCCCTTTAATCGGATTTAATTTTCAATTGGAATGACTTTTTTTCAATCGGAATGACCGTTTACATGACCACTTTTAATCGGAATGGCCTTTCATTCCGATTAAAAGTGGAATTAAACTGTGCATGTAAACGTACTGAGTGTGTCGGTTGTCGTCAACATCCTAACCCTCTGAAAACAAAAAACCTCACCTGGAAATCAGACATTAAAAATTGTTAGCTAAGCATTTAGCTTTGTGTCATTAAACTTTTATAATAACAGACTGAAAATCTGTTTCCTCATCACTCATCACTGATAGGTGAAGGTCAGGTGACTGCTCTGTGGAACCTGTAACCACACGCAGCAGTGATGTCACACACATCACATGATGCTGATGATGACGTTGATATATCTGAGAGTTCAAAGGTCAGATTATGATGTAAACAGATTTTATTGAAGTTGGTTGTTGAAATAATCAGTTATTGATTCTTCCTATCGACAGATTCTACGACTGATAAACGTCCAATCAGCTGATGTTGATGTCTCACAAAAAACAATCACATTATGATGTTTACAATAAATAAATATTTTATTTTGACAGACAGGAAGTTATGTCATCACACAGTCAGTACCTTCAGTTCTTCTAGTTCTTTATAGAATGGTCACAGAGCTGTGACCAGGTGACAGAGGAAAACAGGTGGATCAGGTGGATCAGAGTTGGTGGTTCGACTACGACAGTGTCTCTGAGGGGCAACTGTGATCATAGGTTCTATCCAAGCCAGTGGTTCCCCGCGTGATTGTAGAATCTATCCAAAGTAGTGGTTTTCCCCCTGTGATCGTGGGTTCTATCCAAACCAGTAGTTCCCCCCCGTGATCGTAGGTTATATCCAAACCAGTAGCCCCCCCATCATCATAGGTTCTATCCAAAGCAATGGTTCTCCCCCTGTGATGGTCGGTTCAATCCAAATCAGTAGCTTTCCCCATGATCATAGGTTCTATCCAAATGAGTAATTAGCCCATGATCGCTGGTTCTATCCAAATCAAAAGTCCCCCCCCCCCCCCCCCCCCCCCCCCCCCC